CTCGTATACAATGGGCATAAGATAAAACAAACTGTACTTTCCTCAAAACCGTTTTCACTTACGATGATAATCTGTTGTCAAATTAAGTAAACTTGTTATTAAACAAATGGAACTGAGAAAATGAGGTAAGCTTTAGATACAAGGTTATTCTAATCAAAAAACTATACCGTTTATAATGATTGACTACAGAGTACCTGTGTCAATAAAATTGCTATCGTTTCAGACTTTATTATCAAATCGACCTGTGAGAAAAAGCGACAGTTTGCGTGCGTTTCAACTGAACTTGTTCACGCGTCTTCAGAAAATGTTCAGATGGCCCAAATGTTTAAGGTGAATATGGAGTAAAGTAAATGGTGTTTGCTATATCAGTCGTTTTTAGGAAACTGAAGACAACAGGACAATTAAAACGGTTACTTTAGTAATTGACCGCTGAATTCTTTTCAAAGTAGTCCTCAAAACTGAAATGTTCTGAAACTTTGAATGCTGTTTTCACAGTACGTTTATGCCACAAAGGCAAAATAAATTTTTTGTTTGATCTGAGAGCTTGAAAAATTTATTCAGAGAGCCAGCCTGTAATTAACAGTGTTAACAGAATCCTAGAAGAGTTACAGACTAAGACATGATTATTGTAGGTAAGGACGAGTAGCCATGTGTACGGTTAGTTATTATACAAAATTCGCATTCTTTTGAGCTAGGCTCATTCTTTCCCAAAATAACCAAGTATTAGAATGAGTTGGTAAAACCCCTTCGGAATTGCAAAGCATCACTCAAATTAGCCATTTTTACATGCTGCAGTGTTATTGTGCACATAAGGACGAGTATTTAGAAGACTGGGCCTACACCAGTGGTCTGAATCATGATGACTAAAGAAAACTGCATGCGTCAGTTTTATATGCTTTTTTTTGAGCTCACACTTATCTCCTTGGAAAAGATTAAATAAGGTGCAAAATTTAGTCCCTCAGGCAGGGCAAAGAGTGGTATTTTGAAGCGCGATTTGTTGGCATAGTGTTATATGTAAACGACACGTTTTGAAATAGTCTACATTATAAAATTGCTTCTTTTATCACTTCCTATTAACTTATGCCTACTAGCTAAATATTAAGGCTTAAGAAAGGTGTTACAGAAGTTGTCGGAAAATGTACTGCTGTACCTGATGCCGTGTATACTACTGATGCTCCGCTATACGTATCAGTGGACAACGGGACATCTTTTTATTGTTTACATGATGTTCAAGCAAGCTTTCTTTTTTATTTGTGCACAAAAGTTTTATTGTTTTTGTCACATAGTTTCATCTAAAAAACCTGGTCAACGATTTTTTGATCCCAAAACTTATGAATAGGAGAATTCTCCTGTCAAGAATTTTCTTGCTTAGGGCTTCTGAGCTTCGCATGCAAAATAAAAGTGAACTGTTTTTAGGTTGAAGGTGGTGGAGTCGTTTCTATTAAAAATGCAGAAATATTCTGTCTGGGAAGGGTTCGCGGAACTTTGCTCTCAGTAGCAGGTTCTGAGGAAGAAAAGTTTATAAGGGGTATGTAAAGCTTAAATGTATTCGGTTTCTAGAAGAAAACGCAAAATAGCTCATTTTTCATCAGATTGATTGGGCACATTTTAAATTAGCTGCTGTGAAATACAGGAAGGGAGTTGACTGAAGAATTCCAACAGAATGATGCTGCGTGATTAAAATTAATCTTTTATCGGTTAAAATGGCCAAGTAGCATTCGATCTGAAGTAGTTACCTACCTTTTACTGAGGAATGTGATCAACGCATGTAAAAGTTGAGGCTTTTTTTGTCAAAGAAAGTTTTTAGATACTATGCTGGCTCGGATGAAAACGCAGAACGGTGATAAATTTTACTGGAGGTTACTTGGAGTTAAAAAATTTTATTTTAACACACATGAGACCGACTCTCCACCTTTGAAGAGAGAAAATAAGACATTTGCTGATGGCACAAAACCATTTTACGTTCTCTCAAAAAGTTCCGATGATTTTGAATTTGATGCTGGTGGTCGATGTTTTGCACTAAGCGGAAACTTTTCCGGATTAAGAGGTAACAACTCTAATTTCTGTGAAGTAATTTGAGCAAAAGTAAAGGTATTAAGTTTTTTTGCACCAACAAGGAGACAGCAAATGTGGATGGAAAACTGAGTAATGTGGTGATACTGTGTGAAGTGTACAAATTCACCGTTTCTGTCCGTTGACTGATGAATAGTTGGTATGTGTTGCAAGAAATAAAGACAAAGAATTGTTGAGTAAATCGATGTTAATGTCATTTTTTGTCTTCTCCGCTTTCTTTGCTGTATTGCTTCAGTAGCTTTTAAGCGTTAATTATCAGTCGCTTTCATCTCCTAAAAAAACTTATTTTCTATCATTGTTGTTACATATACTGTCGCCTCAACTTTTAAATTTTTTCCAAACTTTGTGCTTTATGAAGCATTAAGTTAATTGATATTGTTTTTGATAGGGGTTTATGATGGACAACAGCGATAGAAGCATAAAATTTTTTCTAAAACAGTCATGAGTTTCTTGGATGATCGCAGATGGTAAATGATAAGCGATTAAAAAATGCAATTTACTTCCAAAAAGTGTTTTTTTTCTGTTACGTGTTCTTTTTTGAAAGGAGAATAAGTTGAAAAAATTTCTCATATGGGCATGATTGCAACACGAATTGACTGGTCCTTTCATTGTCATTCACCTTAAAGCCGTCTTTCGTCTTTCAATACTATTTTGTACTACCACTATTTAACAGTTACCGAAACATTTTCTAATAATTAATAAATCTCAGCAAAAATTGTTGATTATGTTGTCAAAAACAATTTTTAACTGACTTTTCTCTTTCTTTTTTTAGTTAGGAACTTGATGCATCTTAGAATTTGTTTTTTTGACACTTTCTAAGTCAAATATACTGCTTAATAGAAGTTTTATCTTTAGATGGTATTTGGATTGTCAACTGCAATCGTTTATGGAAACACGTTACATGCAAAGTTCCTGCCGCACCTCCATTTTCAGGACCACTGCAACAGGCTTACTTGACGGATTTTGAAGTACCTTATCAAATATAAATTTCCGGTTATCAATAGCTTGTAAGAATTTGGCAAAAATATTTATTGCCAATGTTACGAGAGATGAAGTAACAGTGTTTACAGTAATAAAGACGGTTGTCATGTTGATTGGTTGATAAATTTTGCTATGAAAAGACGTTAAGAACTGCATGTACAGTTGCCATTTTAAAAATTTTTATTTTAATAAACTATCGGTTATAAGATTACAAGCGTAAACCTTTGTTGACTTTTGACGAATTTTCTATCTTAATTTCAGGACCAGACAGAAGTGAATTGGTCTGAGATTACTATTTTTACTGAAGACATATCAGCATTTATAAATTGTAAGCTATGAAGACTTTGTTCTATTTTGCATTTTTTGAAGCAGAATCTTAACACTTTTTATTTTAAATTTTTAATGCGCTTGCTTTTCATTTGCAGTTATCTAATATAAAAGCGTTACCCGGTTCTCAAAATTATTTTTGATAGGCGATTTATCAATTAGATTTAAAAGACATTTATAAATCTAATCAGCTTGATTGCATTTAATTGTATTGTTTACGTTTGAAATGTTTTTGTCTGCTTTTTAGGGTGTACTTACATTTTATCGGCCTTACTGACTGCAGCGGTGATCACTGTTGCAGGCGCAAAAGTAGTCATGAACATTTCTGCTCATAAAATTGGAGAAGGAATTCAGAAATCGCTGGTCATCAGATTCAGAGATGTTCTACTGAGAAAACTTAAAGGCCGTGAATCTAGTAATGTAATTAAAAATATATTTGATGTTGGAATTTCCGATTTTGATCAATTTTTGTATGAAAGTAAAGTCAAAAATGAATCTCCGACCAGAGTGCAATACGATTTCCCCCAAACGACAAATTTTTAGACATCGGAAGTAAAAAAATATGAACTTTCTGAGGTACTGCTAAAACTTGGGTACTTTCCTTGGTTCAGATATCCAGATTTTGTAAATTTCTAAGTTGTATAATTAACCTCCAAAGCCACAGCTTTACTTGTTTGATCGGCATTGTTGTTTATGAGGTTGTTGTAACTGTTAAAATAAAATTTTTTTTGACTGCTTTTGTTCATATTTGACAATTAACAAAACTTCACATGGAAGATACGTCAGATAATTCACATCTGCATGTTGTTTGCAAGGAACAACCACATAAGTACAACTTTCTAAAAGCTCATCTGTGGGCAACATTCAATAAAAGTTGTTCAAAAAGTTCATTTCTGTGACGTATAATAGAAGTCTTGAATTTGCAAAGTTCATATTTTTGTTAGGCCTAAATTCTGTCTTCTGTTCAACTTCTTGAAAAAATTTTTTACACTAAAACAGATTAGTTATAATTATGAAGGGTCTTCATCCTTGCGGAATGTTTGACTAATTCTGCTGCTTTGAAGTACTGTTGTTCTCGACTCTTTTAGAAGCCACAACTATGCCGCTTGGTTTTTACACATTTTTTTTGTTTTTGTTGCCTTTCTTCTCTTCATCTATTATTTTTTTAACGGTTTTTTTGGCTTTTGCGGGATGCCTCAAGAACGACAGTGGCCAGATCGCTTGCAAAGCCTGGCATGCTAAAACGGGAAATTTTTTGGTCAAATAGCAGACTTCTACTCTAGGCTAAACAATACGGGTAGTGCAATAACCTGATTTATTTCTCAAGTAATCTGAATAAGTTCTGGTAGCACCTCGTTCATACTGGTACTATATTACAGTTATTGATGTATTATGTAGTTTGACTACATACGGTGTAAAAAATATTATTATCTGTCTTGAATTAAACGACATTTGAAGAAAAAATTCACGAAGCTGTCTCTGGTGAGTGCTGTCAGTGAATCAGTTCTTCTGCTGGAGGCCAGTTCCAAGTGGGTTGGAAAATAGAACCATAAAAAATTTCTTGACTGCAGGGCTGTGGGACGATGACAAGACGGAAAAAAACTGGCACGTTTTTTCTTTAACAGGAAACAATTAAAGTATGGGATATTTGAACCGATGCAGTGCTATCAGCAGGTCTTTAAGATACTATTTAACTTCTTATATTTGGCGAAAGTACGGGTAATAGCAGAGGTCTTTGTAAAAGAAAGAATCATAAGGGATAAAGAAAGCTGTTTTCTTAAATTAGCTTATTAAAGTTTCTGTCTTGCTTATTCCTCACCAAATTATATAACAGACAACAATCAATTCTGAGAATGTGGAATCTGATCAGTCAGAAAATCGAGTTTTTGTTGCCCTGACCATCTCATTATCGGCAGAATGGTGCCTCGTTTTTCAGATTCTTGCTAAATGCTTTGCTATCAATTCGCAAGAACCTTTATTCGTTGTCATCTTGATCTCCACTGTCGTTCTGCTTGCCGTACACGAACAAGTATCCGTTAGAAATGCCGATTTAAAAGAAATAAAACATATTTTGATATATTTTACTTTTGAGACGTCGCCACTTTTTTTCACGTTTGTATTCTTGATAACCTTCTTTTCCGTTTTGATTGCCGGCTGTTGCATCTTCTAAATTCTCAGGAAAAACCCTTATTTTATTGATTGATTAAAATATTTCACAAAAAGCAAAAGCTCTAAGAAAAATATCGTCTCTGTAGAAATGAATGATACTGAACCAAGTGAATGTGGATATTATACGCGCATTGTGGAACAAACGGGCTGCATCCTTGGCTGGAAAGGTAACGTCTGTACCGCAGAAGTATCTGTAGAAATTACATTAGCAGAGTATGACATGGACAGCTGGGAGGATTACAGCCGTGAATTTTTCCGTTTAAAGAACGTTGATTGAGTCTCTTTGGATTAAAACATCTCACAAAACTCTATTCTGTTACCCTCGTTAGAATGATACAGAGTAAAGTGAATATGAACATTGTTGATATCAGTTATACTGGTTATACAGAAAGCTTCAAAAAATGGTGACAATAGCCATTTTGTAGCATTTCTAAATCTGCATGCTAATCGCTGTATATATAAATAATGTATAGGAATGCTGCTCAGATTCATAATGAAGTATTTCTGTTTCTGTTGCCATTCACATTGCTGGAAAAAAGAGTGTGGTTTAAGAAGAAACTGTATAGCTGCAATGTTCAGCTGCTGAAACTTAGCAAAAGCTTCTTTTATAAAGTAATTGAAAAAACTGTAAAAACAGTAAATTATTTTGAATATTATTGAATTTTTTTGCAAAGTTGTTGTTGAATTTGTCGACAGTCACGCAGAAATAAACAGTTCGTGTTTCCTCATTTATTCTGTTTGGTGCGGTTGAACCACATTTTAATATGTTTTAGCGTGATGTGCATCTTTATGCCTAAACTCGGTAAATTTTTTAATTTTTCGTGCTTTATTTTTTAAAATTATCATGTACAATTATTTTAAAAGCAGCTTTGTATAAAGGTGCAGCACTGTTTTTTATAATGCATAGTTTTTTACACTTCTTGCTCCGTTACTATAAAAGCCATCAGGATTAACCCTGCTGTGGCCATTCCTTTACGGAAAGCACATTTCGACGCATCAAATTCATTTGTTTCTTGACAGGAGCGTCAGAGGGCGTTAGTGCATTACAGGATTCAGCGGACGATAAAAAAAAGTTATGAAGTGAGTTGGCGATATCGTTGAGCAGATAATCGGAATTGTTTTGTCTATTTACGTTAACAATTTAGTGGTGAGAACTGCTTCTTGAACTGAAATTTCTTAAGAGCTTCCTGTCTTATTTAAGATCACACATGAAAAACACATTTCCAGTTTATGCAATTGATCAACTGAAAAATGTGGGAGTCAGGGACGTAATTCTCGAAATTGTTTGTAAAATTTGTTTTATAGATTTTGATTTATTTTACTTTGAGGAAACTCACAAATTGAACGAAAAGGACGATTCGGAAGTAGTTTACGATAATGCTCACGGTACCCATCTTTCTATCGGTTTGGAACTGTTGCAGATTTAACATATTGTTCTGAGCTGGAATTTGATGCTCTACTGCTTTATTTAAAATGCTTGTGTGTTCTTCATGTGTTCTTCACTCGTTTTGATAGTAAAAACTTAAAACGTTGGGTAGGGACTTTTTTTGAAGAAGTCAAGTTTTCAAAGAGGGCAATCTGTTGGTGGATAAGGCGGTCTCAGACGAGAATAACCTTCAGCTAATCAATAGGTCACAATTTTCGATGCAGAGGACCGTCGGAGACAAAATTACCACTTTTCCATAAGTTTTTTTGCAAAAGAATAATACAAAAAACCTCAAAATATACGGCTTAATAAATCGTTAAATCTGTGGGTATTTTAGGAGTGATAGGTAAATGCATAACGTATTACCGTTCCGTGGACGAATTCTTTTCTGCTGTGATTTGTAATAAGAGTGAAAATGTCGTAATGAGAAATGAATGCTTTTGCATGCATTTAATACATGTAAGAATCTATTTTTATTGCAGATTTCAAGACATTGCAAAGCCAAACTTACAATCACATTCTGCTTTAAAGTTGTTAAACAGCTTTAACATCACTGTCAAAATTTTCTGGTCACTTAATGTACTTTGGTAAGAATTGTTTGAAGAGACGGGATTACGAAAAAAATTTTTTATTTGTCGGGCTAAGTGACCAGAAAAGTCACGAAACTGAACAACAAAGTGAGACAATACAGCAAAGTGATTTGTTTGTGACTCTGCACTGCATCATTTTTGCTTGCCACTTTTCAATTTTGAAAAACTGTTTTCAAAGAGGCTTAGTTTCTAGGCGAAGTTTCTGAAGCTCAGCTTCATAACAGATTGTATTTGTTACACTCAATGCATTTCAAAACTTTGCAGGACATATTCTGGCTTATTAGTGAGCTGCTTTCAGAATTTTAATAATCGAACCGGGTATACTGCCTGGGAAGAAGCTTGCACGAGTGTGTATCCTCACAGATACCATTTTTTTGTGAATTATGTTGGTGAACTTAATCCAATCAAAAGTGAACATTATTCAGCTTTTTTATTTTGGTATAATTTTATGCTACTCCTGCGTTAGAATGGAAGTTTATCAAATTATTATTGCAAGTCGGTTTAATTTAGTGTAAAATGTGTAACATTTAATAATTATTTGCTGTGTACTCCAAAAAGTAAAACTTTGCAACATGCCGTATACAAAAAAGCAGTTTGAGCATTTTAGAAGCTCTGTTGGAACTGAACGACAGTGTAAATATTGAAGCATTACTGGTGAGCATTCTTGGTTCGGCACAATATAATTTGTGCGGTATAGTTCTTCAGAACAGTTCAGGCAAAATCAGTAAATGTTTTTTCGATATTTTTTTTATAATGAGCCAACAAAGTATTCGAAAAATTCTCGTAAGAAACGTCTTTTGTTTTTTCAGACGTGAATTTAGTCAACTGCATTGAACCAGTGCAATACATGGGATGCAGGACAACTCCGACTCAAAATCAGGTAATAGGGAAATTGTTTTTTGCTTTCTTTTACAAGAAGGTGCATGTATTTATGATCTCCATTTTCAGGTTCTTGCTGCTTATTATAGTAAGTTGTCAGCATAAAAAAACTTCACAAACACCTGATCAATTAGTTTCGATCATTCATTTTCTGTATCAATCTCTCATTGAGAATTAACGTTTTGTCCTGCACTTAAATCTACCGTATCATAAACCAAACAATGCTTTTCACTTTTAACGATATTCCGAAAAATATTGTTTATTGCAAGACAGTAAATATAATACTGCTTCCAGATTACCAGGAGAAAGAATTTCTTTTAATCAGTAATCTAAATAAATGACTCGTTTAAGGAGTAAAAAGGAAGTGTTTGAGACTGCCGCCTTAGCAGTACAAAATGCCGCCGGTGTTGATCGAATATCCACC